TCTGGGGGGGGGGGGGGGGGGAGGGGGCGGGTCTCTCCTCGGGCAAAAAAACCCAGGTTAATTAAACCTTTACAAAAAAGAAGAAGACGAATTTGAAGAAAAAAAATAGTGCTCCTTACCCCCCCCCCCCCCCCCCCGCATTATTCGCCGGTTTTTTACTCGCCGATAAACACAATGAGACCAATGTCCTTAATTCTGCTCAATTGGCCACAGTCTTTTGGACAAGCCTTTATGTGTATACACACGCAACACACACACACACGCATGCACGCACGCACGCAAGCACGCACGCACACACACACACACACGCACCACCACACACGCACACACCCAAACACACTTACCGACAAGGAATACGAAAATATATTCTTCTTGTTAAAATACAAATGAGATTGACACCCTTACCCACTTTAAATGTGTACAATATATTATTGCCTTGTGTTTCCCTTTTTCATTACAGTTGTATAGCAGGCTGATAATTATTTAGTAGCATTATTTGCAACTCGCTAAATGACAAAGCCACTTTTGACACTTGATAAGCATTTTGCCAAATATAAAAATGGCCTTTAGAATCGGATCATTTCCATAAAAAGCAGTCACAGAAAAACACACACACGTTGAACCTCTTATCATAATTATGCGCGATAACACATGATAATCAGTGTTTAGTTATCATGGTTTTAATATGAAACGATCACTGCTAATGGACATTTGATGGTTTGCCTATATTCACTGTAGTTATTTATTATATATGTGCTCACATGGAAGAAAAATGTCAATACTACAAAAATCCTTTTTTTCTTAAATCCAGCATTCATTAAATTGATATGAGTGAAATCGAAAATAGTTCTTTTTTTTCCTTCTACTACCGTACTTAGGTAGAACTTAACTTACAATACCATAATCAGACTTTCGCATATTTGCTATAATCATAACATAAAGATAGCCAGCTAAAACAAAAAATGGATACATGTTTGCTCATACTAAAATTAAATAATAAATTTATCTGAAACAGAATGAAAGATAGAGGTACTGATTAACTGATACACTGATTCATAATAACGTGATAGTGAAATTATCACAGTTGATTTTCTTCTAGTACTTCCATTATCTATAACTGTTTCAATTTCATTCAATTTTCCTCCCAATGCCACTAGCTATGAGGACAAAGCATCATATACAGTTGTAAGCAGTGGCATAATGAGCAAAAATGTTTTTTTTTTTTTTTTTTTTTTTTTGGGGGGGGGGGGGGGGTCTGACAAAAATCCGCATCACCCCACTCTTACATACAGGCCCTGCTGAACGTTTTTTTAAAAGTGAGGTCTAGGGGCGGAGCCCCCAAAGCTCAAGGGGTATGGGCATCAGTGGCAGATCCAGGAATAACTTACCGGAGGGGCACAAAATGGCATGGGGTGAAATATTATGTAAAACGATGAAGCGACAGCGCGAGGCTTTAGCGCGAGGGAGCGGAGCGACCAAGCGGGGGTGGGTCTGGAAGGGGGTTCTGACCCCCTCCCAGAGTATAGGAAGCAATTGCAATTTTAGACCTCATTAGACGCATTTTCAGGCACTTCCTAGAGTAATATGACGTAAATTTGCTTTCTCCTACCCCCTCCAAGAGTAGGAATTTTTTGCAATTTGAGAACCACATTCGGCGCATCAATGTCCACCAGCACTTCCTGGAAAAAAACGAGGCTTTCTGATCCCGCCCCCCCTCCCCCACTTCATGAACGGAGGGACATCATGCGTGTTTCCAAACTCTCCGGCTCGTAACAAAATACAAATGTCTATAAACCGTAATGACTTTACACACCGGACTTTTCCTGAAAAGGGGGGGGGGGGGGTCGCTAGAAACAATTTCGTTGCTGCACAATGGACAAAGACGGTGGTCCGGTATTTCACCAGTATAGTACTTGGAAAAGTTATCTCGATTGTATGAACTGTGTCGTTATCAAGGGCGTCGCTAGACCTTTTTTAATGAGGGGAGGGGGGGGGGGGGTGGAGGGGGGGGGGGCTGAAGAGGCCACCGATTACCAACAAAACGATCTACCAAATATCGACAAATATATTAATGCCAATGTCCCAATGTCTACAAATTTAACCCTATAAACCCAGGTCCAGGCATTGGCGGATCCAGGGCGCCTGGCAAAACAAAAGAAGGAAAACAAGAAGGAAAACAAAAAGGGGAAATAATTTGTTTGTGTGTGTGCTAAAGAAAGCAACAACAAAAAACTTCTAAGCTATTGACGAAATATCTGACGACGTAAAAAAAAAAAAAAATTGCTTATCTGACCGTGATTAAATGTCTTGAAACCCCTGAGCTTTCGGGGGCTCTGCCCCCTGGATTTCGCCTAGAGCCCAAAGTTAGGCACCTGAATGCTCATCTGACTGTAATTTAATGCCTAAAAACCATGAGCTCCTGGGGTCTCGGCCCCCTGGACCTCACGCCAATTCGTGTCCCGCCAGTGTCACAAATAAGGCATCAAAATATGTTCATCTGACCGTAATTAATTGCCTAAAACCCCTAAGTTTCCGGGGCTCCACCCCCTCGACCCCACCAGGGGCCTTAAGCCGGGCCCCTGCATGCTTGTCTGGCCGTTATGAAAATGCCTAAACCCCTGAGCTTGTCGGGGCTCTGCCCCCTGGACCCCACGGCAATTAGTGACCTGCCAGTGTCACAAATAAGGTATAAAATTTGCTCATCTGACCTTGATTAAATGCCTTAAAACCCCTAAGCTTCCGGGGGCTATGCCCCCTGGATTTCACCTAGGGCCCAAATTCAGTCACCTGAATGCTCATCTGACTGAATTTTAATGCCTAAAAACCCTGAGATCTTTGGGTCTCGGCCCCCTGGACCTCACGCCAATTAGTGTCCTGCCAGTGTCACAAATAAGGTATCAAAATATGTTCATCTGACCGTAATTAATTGCCTAATACCCCTAAATTTCTGGGGCTCCACCCCTCGACCCCACCAGGGGCCCTAAGGCAGGCCCCTGCATGCTTGTCTAAACGTTATAAAATGCCTAAAACCTCTGGGCTTCTGGGGGCTCCGCCCCCTGGACCCCACGCCAATTAGTGACCTGCCAGTGTCACAAATAAGGTATCAAAATATGTTCATCTGACCGTAATTAATTGCCTAATACCCCTAAATTTCTGGGGCTCCACCCCTCGACCCCACCAGGGGCCCTAAGGCAGGCCCCTGCATGCTTGTCTAAACGTTATAAAATACCTAAAACCTCTGGGCTTCTGGGGGCTCCGCCCCCTGGACCCCACGCCAATTAGTGACCTGCCAGTGTCACAAATAAGGTATCAAAATATGCTCATCTTACCGTAATTTATTCCCCCAAACCCCTGAGCTTTTGATAAGGTTTGATAAGGTCATAGCTCACTACATATGCACAAATACCTATTTACTTATCCGAAAAATATGGTTAGCTTCCTTGCCTAGTAATATTATACAAATAATGAATGGTTATGAGTTCAATAGTGCGAATATTTTCATGAGTTGAAAGATTAACATTCTATTCAACGAGGCGTCAGCCGAGTTAAATAGAATTAATGTTAATCTTTCAACGAATGAAAATATTCGCACCATTGAACGAATGAATAACATTCATTATTTGTTTTATACAACATCGAAGAAGATCTAATAGAACGTTAATCAACAAATTATGCTTTACTCCTTATAAAAGATAAATTAAAGTTGGATTCAAGCCTTCTCGATTACATTCAGATTGCCTTCGCGTCAGATACACGCAGGGATACGCGCGCGCACGGCAGAGAGGTACGTAGTCTGCATATAACCAAAAATGCACGGCGCATATAACCAAAAATGCACGACCGTGCAATATACCATCTATTGAATATCATGTGACCAACAATCCTCCAATCAAATGACAGGGATTCACGTAGGTGTTGTATAAAATATAATATAGTCTCATGGAGTTAACTTGTTCTGACGTATATAGGCCATTTGTACCCGGCGAGGGGATGTTAAGCTTTGCTTACTTACTGCCCATTATGCCTCCTGGCACATAGGGCAGCAACAAAAGTCTTCCACTCCTTCCGATCCTGGGCCAGTCTTTGGATTGTATCCCATGTGTGGTTCAGGGCTTTAATCTCCCCTTCCACAGTTCTTCGCCAAGTGGTTTTAGGACGTCCCCTCTTTCTTTTGCCTTCTGTTGTCCAGTGGAGGGCTGTTCGTGTGATGTCATCTCTGTTCTTTCTCATTAAATGCCCGATCCATCTCCACCTTCTTCTCGTGATGATGTTCTCCATGCTGTCTTGATGGCATTGGGAATACAGTGCTTCATTTGAAATGGTGTTTGGCCAGAAAATGCGGCATATTCTTCTAAGACTCTTTGTGTGGAAGACTGATAGCTTACTGAGGTCGTTTTTTTGTTGTCATTCTCCAACATTCAGAGCCGTACAGGAGAGTGGAAAGGACACAGCTCTGGTACAATTTTAGCTTGGTCTTGGTGCTGTACTGCTGTGATCTCCATATATTATTGAGCATTCTGAGTGCATTTCTGGCTTTATTCAGACGGTTCTTAACGTCTTTGCCTGCGCCTCCATCGTGCCTGACAGTGCTGCCCAGCTAAGTAAACTCCTCAGTTATAGGTAGGTCTTCCCCGTTTGCTTGAATTGGTAAAGGATCCGAGATGTTCAGGGTCATCACCTCTGTTTTCTTTTGGCTAAGCTTTGCGTTGACTTGTTATTATTATTATTATGTCATCGGTTTCATTTGAATTTCTGAGCTTCAATTTTATGGAGCCTGCCGTCAACGCCATTTATAGTGACCATGTAGCTTTGAGCCTTAGCAGAAACGTCCAAGATACCGTTGATGTCAACGATGAAGCAGACATCGATCTGGAGAACGCCACGCGGTGCGGGAGGGATGCCGGATATCTCAAACTCACCAAGGGTGTTTTTTCCTTTGCCATTGCCATTTCCTCCTTCGAATACGGAGATGTTGATTGTTGGTGTAGGTAGAGAAGGTTTTACTCTTCGGTGAGAGGGAAGTGCGGCTTCTCTTTAGTAAAGAGCTTTGTCATCACATCTGCCATCTCGATGCCAATGGTGAGAGGGTTCACATCGAGTAGAAGAATATTATTGGATACATCACTCTTAACGTCGGACAGGTTTGTAGCTTGAACAGCGCCACCGTAGGCCACATCTTCATCATGGTTGGTAGGCGAGTTGAGGTCCTTGACGCCAAAGAAGTCGCGGAGAATCTTCTTCTTCATGGGGATACGTGTTGATGCACCAACAAGCACCACACTGTTTATCATACGCCAGCCAAGCATATCATCCTTTAGCGCTCTTTGAATCATTAGCTTGCATTTAGTGAACATGTCATTACCTAACTCCTCAAATCGATATCTGATGATGATAGTAATGAAGTCAATATATTCAAAGAGTGAGTCAATTTGGATGGTTGCTTCAGTGCTGGAGGTCAGCGTTAATGGTTCTCATATGAGGTAACAAGCGCTTGTAGCTTCTTGTAAGCTTGTAACTTACAAGAACATTTAACATCGGAAATCGTTCGCCAAATATTCAAAGACGCTCATAAACGCATGCATTTAGCAGACAACTTGATTATATAATATAATCAAATTTAACGCTCAACTCCAGCACTGAAGCAACCAACCAAATTGACTCACTCATTGAATATATTGACTTCATTACTATCATCACCACATATCGATTTGAGGAGTTAGGTAATGACATGTTCACGAAGTGTAAGCTAATAATTCAAAGAGTGCTAAAGGATGCTATGGTTGACTGGGTAGGATTAATAGGGTGGTGCTTATTGGTGCCTCAACCCGTATCCCCATGAAGAAGAAGATTCTCCGCGACTTCTTTGGCGTCAAGGACCTCAACTCGCCTACCAACCATGATGAAGATGTGGCCTACGGTGGCGCCAACCTGACCGACGTTCAGAGTGATGTATTCTTCTAACTCTTCCCATGCTTTGATCATTTCTAAATAAAACTTAGGTACTTTGAAACTTAACAACTTGGAATCATAGTTACACAAGAAAATAGATCTACCCCCTAATAATTATGTTACACACACGCACGCACACACACACACACACACACACACACACGCACACTCACAGTCGTACGGCCACACAATGATTATGAACCGGAATCGACGTTTTCTTAACAACTGTTTGGATTAATTATATATTCGTTCCGCGTTTTCACTTCATAGTCATATTCATATTCACATTTATGTTTACAGTGACATTTATATTTGTATTCATATTCATGTTTTTAAAATTTATATTGATATTGATATTGATATCCATATCCAAGTTCATATTCACATTCACATTTACATGAAAGTAGTATTATGTGAACCATCTCAACATACAGTTCCAATTTTAAGTAGAGGGAGGTTTTGTTAGTCTTCAAGAGAGTTAGAGTTATTTACCAGAGACCACAGTAGATAGCTTAACATTACATGGGTGCTTTCGATTTTGAAAACAAGTCTAAAACGAATGTCTCATGTTAAAGGGAAAGTCCACCCCCAAAATAAGTTTGTTTCGATAGAGGCAGAATAATAAGAAAATCAGGTGAGTGAAAGTTTGAGCAAATTCGAATGAAAATAAGAAAGTTATGAATTATTGAAGTTGTGATCAATCAAACACAAATTGGCAACTCTATGACGTATCATGCGAGCTCAACTTCCATTTGCTCAGTACTAAAAAAATTTAAAATTTTCATTTTCCCTCAAGAAAAAGTTCAACCATACATGCACCCTAAATATAATAATTGCAAATATGTTTCTATACTCCCCCTGCAAGGAACAAATATATATTCCGTCATCAATAACGAAGAAAACATGATTTTATGGAATATTATATACAAAGCAAATGAAGGAGAGCTCGTATAATAAGTCACAGAGTTGCCAATTTGTATTTGATTGATCACAAATTCAATAATTCATAACTTTCTTATTTTCATTCAGAATTTGCTCAAACTTTCACTCACCTAATTTTTTTATTATTCTGCCTCTATCGAAACAAACTTATTTTGGGGGTGGACTTTCCCTTTAACACTTTCAACACTGCGAAGGAGATTAGTTAACACAGAACTATTTATTCCGTCTAACGGGCATTCGGATTATTTATTGCATTTTTTAACAAGAATTATTTCATACAGAATTTACGTACAATACATAAAGCTATTTACTAGTTATCTTATTTTGTGAAATATATTCTATTAGCATGATATTGCATACACACGACAACATTTTCATTAGGTAAAAGTGACGAACATTTCAAAACATTTAAAGAAATATAGATATTCCTATCAATACTACTACTACTTTTACTACTACTACTACTACTACAACAACAACAACAACAACTAATAATTATATTGACGATAATGAAAACGATAATGATAATGATAATTATAATAATAATAACAATAATAATTCAAAAATTATTGTTATTATTATTATCATCATCAGCATGAGAAGAAGAAATGACACCAAGAATAAAAAGAAGAATATTATCAATAGTTTTGAGTAAAAAGGGTAGCCCGGGAGAGAGAGAAAATGTTGATTAATCAGCGTCTTGCCAAATCACACTAATAATGCCGTGCTGTGATTCGAGCTCTTAACAACAGGGGGGTGTTTCACAAAGATCCTAAGTTGAACTTATCTCTAAGTTGGACTCAACAATTATGGAAAGCTGTTAGCATCTATGAAAATTTTTTGTGAAATTTATTTTAAAAGGCATAAAATGTTAAGTCAAATCATTTATATTTTCTATTATCATGGAGATTTCATGTTCTTGATGTGGAAATTATACAAAGTCTAAAATACTTGAATTTTCGCTTTTGAATATATTTTATTTTAAGGCTACAAATGGCTCTCCATAATTTTCAAGTCCAACTTAGATTTAAAGTCGACTTAGGATCTTTGTGAAACACCCCCTGGGTTGAGAGTCAAGTGAATGAACTTTAAACTATTCCAGATCTAGAACATGAATACTGGCAGACTGGCGCATCATTCATGAATTACTACCCTTAATATGAACAGTCGATAACAAATATAAATATTTCCCGGAGATTGCCCAAAATAGTGTTCGAGAAAACAATATCATCATGGAGTGAAGTAGGTTCTCTGTGTTTTCATCTGTTTCATCATAATGTAATGAAATTTTAGCCACGTGAGTGCAATGTAGAGGAAACTATGTATAAGTGAATGGAAAATGTTGATCATGTAGCATGTAAATACTGGCGTACATTGTGAGGTTTTGGAATAATTAAAATGATAAGAAATTGGCAAATTAAGTCTTATTAAAAGTTTACTGTATACGGATATGAATACATGGAACTACACAAAGTTGTGGTATGAAAGTGTTAACAAAATGTTGGGCTGTTATCTTTCTTTTATCTGATATATGAGGGTATTTGAAGAGCCATCCTTTTCAGGGACATGTTTTTCCTGTGGTACCTTCCGACACTAACATAAGAAAATGAAACCACTCTCAAATTATTGTTCACCTTTCCCGTAACTGAAGTTTCTCTTTAAGCTGACTTATTATCTACATGGATCGATGGAACTGCGTGGCATTCCTATTTACTCGGGCAATTCCGGTCTGAGATATAATATACAATATACACATTCATGATGTACTGTATAACACCTTGTTGGAATGTCTCACTTCTACAACTCGTGCAGCTTTTTTTATAAAGCAGACTACTAAATATACCAATCCATTCCTCCGATACCTATATAGGCATTTTATTTATTTTACATATTCCATTTTTATGTCCATTTTTATGTACGATTTTAAATACATTTTTAAAGTACATTTTAAGTACATTTTTAAGGTGACTTAGCCTTTGTTCAATACTGTTTGTTTGTTTTCTTGAACATCAATTTTTTTTTTTTTGTTGTTGTTAAATGTCTACCTGTAACAATTTGAGAGAATGCCTAAGTAAATGCAACCATGACTTAAACACCTTGCATGAATTTTTATCGCTTGATAATATTGATTTTTGTCCTTGTAAGAAATATTTTACACCTGATGAGTTTAATACATACATTACAAACAAAGCAAAATCTGCAAATCCACTTTCATGTATCCATTTTAATTCAAGAAGTCTTCTTCATAGTTTTGATAATATCACTGAATTCTTAAACAGTGTGAAACTAGAGCCTACAGTACTATGTGTCACAGAAACCTGGTTCCAGGAGCACACCATACACCCTTTGTGTAATATAGATGGTTATGAATTTGAAGGCGTTAGCCGCTTGTCAAGAAGGGGTGGAGGAGTTGGGATTTTTGTAAACAATAATGTGCAATATATAAGACGTCCCGACTTAGAACAGACCGATAGCTGTATTGAAAGTGTATTTGTGGAAATTGTCAATAAGAATTCTGGTATAATTGTTGGGTCAATTTATAGGCCTCCGGATCAGTCTGTTGATGATTTTTTAGAGAGATTCTCAAATGTTTTTATCGTTGTAAATAGGGAAAATAAAATAATTTATTTATTAGGTGATTACAATATCAATTTATTGAATGTAGGTAAAGTGCAACATGTTGATAATTTCATCAATTTACTATTGTCGCATCATATGTATCCGTTGATAGACCATCCTACCAGAATCACTGACGACACAATTTCTTTGATTGATAATGTAATTACTAATAATGTAGACAATGTTGAATCAGGAATATTTATAACAGACATCAGCGATCATTTACCTGTATATTGTATTAGCTGGAATGATATTCAATCTCAGCAAAATTTGAATAAGCCATTAAGAATAATCAATGATAAAAGTATAAATTGTTTTTTAAGATCCCTTCAGATGGTCCAATGGTCTTGCCATAATAACAATCCAAATGTAAATTATGTGCAATTTTTAGAGAGGTTTTTAAATGTATATAATCTGTGTTTTCCTTTAGAATGTTTGAAAAAAAACACCAAAAAAAAATAAACCATGGATCAATCCTGATATTCGTAAGTTGTCAAAGAAAAAATGTCGTTCATATCGACTTTATCTGAGAAACCCAACACCGTATCGAAAAGAAGTGTACAGAAAATGTCGGAATAAAGTCAATAATATGATTAAACAAGCTAAAAAACACTATTTCATGGAAAATTTTGCAACAGCCAAAGGGAATATGAAAAAGACTTGGAACATAGTTAATTGTGCAATGGGTCGTGTAAATAAAAAGTGCAGTATTAATTTTTTGATATCTAATGATCAGGTGTTACATGATACCTCAAAAATTTGTAATTTATTTAATGAATATTTTATTAATATTGTATCTGAATTGAAATATCCTGTTGATCAG